AGAAAAACTGAACAAAAACAGTTAAAACGAGCATCTACAGCCCGAGAATGAGAGATGAGCCTCTTTATTGTTTACTTTTGCTTTCACTCTTGTGTATAGGGAAACGTGTTGTATGCACAGACATCAATTAGCCTGTAAATAATTAATTTAGTTACTATTTCTAAATTCAGTTCTAATTTCCAGCAAATGTATAAATGAACAATAATAACGAAATGTGCTCAAAAACCTGAGTTATATTCAAACACACATGCTGTGCCCCATGTGGTCTAAAACCTGACAGGTGGACAAATCTAAGCTTGTTTTAATAAAACAAATATAAATATGGATATAATAAATAATACTGCTAATAATAATAACATTATACAAAAGCAAATTTTTATGAATAAACTGAAAAAGCTTCCTGAAATGAAAAAGACATGAAAGTTTGGTTTTTAAATTTACGTAAACTAGAAAATAATATGTTTTGTAATATTTTAATCCTTTATATTTATATCATATTTATTCGTATCATATTCTATATATATCCTTAATATTTAAATTCATTTCATTTGTAAAGATATTTGCACATTGTTGTACATCATGTCTGTATTAAGCAATGTGTAAGCGAGGCGCACAACTAACACGATCTGCGCTGGACAATAGACCGGCTTTGTTCTGGTCTGTTGAACACTTTATCATAGTTCCTCAAAATAGCAGCGCGCCAGCAATGCGCCTTAACAGGCCTCTTTTTTAGACCAGAACGCCTAAAGGCGCACATATGAGCGCAAATGCATTTGCTATTTAGACAGTGTGGCGCAAAACATCAAAACGACTCTTGCACCAAGCTGAAACTAGCAAACAACTAATGCTTTCTGCCTTGCGCCGGGTGTATAATAGGGCCCCATATCATTGTTAATGGAAGTGTCCTTTGGTTGAAAATTTTTGGGAGAAAATTCTAAACTTTTTATCCATAGTTGAACAGGGTATATGCAGTAATCCTAAAGGTAATTTCAATACATTTTCAATACTTTTAAAAGATCTTCTCAGAACATTTTAAAACCTCATCGCAACTTCAATCTCTAATCAGTATCAAACCTTTAACATAAT